TTCTAGACTTTACACCTTTGATCATATGCTTAAAGCTTATCTCCCGAATTGTATGCTAAATTGTAGGACTGTCCAAGAAATACGCTGCCAAATCATGTAAGGACATTCAAGAGAAACGTCAAGACGCCCCGTCTGGTGTATACTGGATTCAACCCGATGGTGATAACCCGGTCCAGGTTTACTGCGACCAGGAAACAGACGGTGGAGGCTGGACACTAGTGTACAGCTACACCTTCGCAAACTTTAAGTAAGACACTTTGATTCGAAAATTTATTGAATGCAGAGAACCACTGGCTCTGTTGACTGTTTTATCTATCGTGTTTTTACAGTAAATTATTTTTGCTTAAGAAAAATTTTAAAAGGATCAGTTAAAACATGATAAAGGGTAGGATAAAGGAAATCCCGCGTTCTCATTGGGTACTGGGGTATACTCATCGCTCCCCTGTCAAGTGACCAATCAGGTCATGATACCAGAATCTGAATCCAAGCTCCCCCGGTTTTTTTTCTCCGCCAGTCCACTCTCTTTTCGCCCCCTCCACTTGGGAGACTTTTCTTCAATGCCCTCCCTCCCCAACTTCCCAGGCTATGAGTCTAGCCGTTTTAACTTGACGTTAGTCCATAACACATATGTTTTAAAGAATTATATTGACGATGGTGATGACTGTTATTCGCCAGGTATTTTAAGTCCGGCTCCAACGCGGTCACGCCGCGCCCAAACTGGCCAATCAGCCCGACTTACGGAAACATAATCATCTCTACCACCCCTCCAGTAAGCGAAACAGACTACAACGCCATGAACTTCAACTACTGGAAAAACCTGGGTCGCGAGTTCATGATCAAGTCTAACATTAACCATTGGATCTCTTGCAAGTAAGAATTCTCCACTTCAGAAACTTTGAGGAGAATGAGTACAAGCTTTGTGTGCAGTGATTTCTGGGAAGGACAAGTGTTAGTTATGATTGGTCGATGATATTCGAAGCAATCTTTAACTCAGCGTAAGAAAAGCTTGTCCACCAAAACGATTCCATAAATCTTTACGCGATTCCTCCTATAATTTTTTTGAATGGAAAATTTGCTTTGGTTTTGCGAAATAATCTTGTTCTCTCTTGTTCGTTTGCTTACTGTCAAACTCAGAAAACCGTGAACACCTGAAAAATTTCAGGAATGTTGATTGTGTACTGGCCAATTACAATAAAGTTCAGGATACGCAAGCAAACCTCAAAACCACAAATTAATTACCGTTACTGTTTGCGGTTTAGTTATCTTGGGCCTTATTGGCTAGGTAATTTCTCGCAACACAATGACATTCCATAAATATTTCTGGTGTTCACGGGTTTGTGAGTTTCACAGTAACTGGTTTATTTGTTTGTTTGTTTGTTTTTTTACTTTGTACAATCAGCAAATTGTTTGCAGCACTAATTTAAAGCAAGCATGCAGTCACTTTGGAAAAAAAATTACGTTGATTAGCTCAAAGTTTATACGTTAAAGTATATGTTTTCCCGACCAACCCTTGAGAGCTTAATCCAGTGAAGGTGACGCAGTAGAGTAGGTTAACAAAACAAAATGCTCTGGTTTATGAGCTTGGACTAGTGTATATACTATTCTTCAGTACTGGACGAAAAAAATGGATTTGCACAAATTTGCTCCTTGCAAATGTGTCGCAAATACTGAGGAGTAAATATAGGATGTAAATAACTAGGCAAATGTGGCATTTACCATGTTTGTCATATATTTACTCCTCAGTATTTATATATTTGCGACATGTGCAAGGAGCAAATTTGTGTGAGAACAGTGTCGTCTTCAAGACAAAGTAGTCTACATACATCCTTTTCCTTTAAAACACCGACA